AAAGCCGTTCGTTTATGCTTCCTCAACTCTCATAGTTTATTATTGCTGGTTATAGTGGAAGTCAGTTATGGTGAGAACAATGTGGTTAACAAATAGTAAAAATATTGAAAATATATATTAACAAACAGGCCGATGAATATTTAGATGGTAAACAAATAATTTGTGCAACATCAAGAACTTTCCTAGATTGGTGAATATAACTTTGAATACTTCACATTAATATAACTGGTCTTTTCACTTTTTCAGTATGAAAGAGGCTTCCATAAATGTAGAAAAAGATACTGATAGAAAGCTATAAAACAGAAACTAGAATGTGTGAAACAAATGTAAAACAAAAGAGTCCCCACTTGAAAAAGATATAATATATATATATATATATATATTGTATGTATTGCATGTATGTACGTACGTAGGTCAAATGAAAAGGCTCGTACTATTCTGTAAAGTACCACTTCTCCATATCCAAGATTCACATGCCTGTATAAACAATCTAAACTGTGTTGCAGATTAATTACAAACCTGGACACGACTCCAGAGCAAAGGAACTGAAGCCCTAGCATTATTTCGAACATAAACATTCGTCATGAGTGGTTGATTAGGAAACTCCAAAAGAAGTGTGTCTGTATCCGTTGTCAAGTTATGATTGGAAATTGTAAGGCTTCGAGGAACAGCATCGTATATGGTTCCAGCACCACCAGAATTTTCTGGACAACCCAAACTACGTCCCCCTACATAAATAGCATTTATTTGGCAATACCTTAGCAATACTACTAAATGAATTAACATATAATGACATAGTGCAAGAATCATCCATAGTAAGCAATCAAAGTTGCATTGCAAACAAGCAATCCTTATTATTATCGCCAACAATTAAGTTTCCAAGTACTAAAGAATTCAAGTAGAAAAAAATTGTAGAAGATAGATGAAAAATTTAAACCAATCTCCCTTCATCCACTCATGCTAAACATGTAACTAAAAAAATGTTAAACATCAACATTGAGTGCCACACAAAAGAGTATACGGGGACACCAATCATCAGTGTCAGGTGATGAAAGATCTCTCTAAATACCAAAGTAAGCCCTTCTTAAAGGAAGGGCTAAATGAAGGGAAAAAGTATAAACAAGGAGACTCTCAAGCAGGATGTTTCTGTTATCCATCCTATGTATATGTATGGATGATAATAGAAATAAGAGCCAGTCCCCTCAAGTAAAAGGAAAATTTAGTTTAAACAAACTACAAGTTTTAATACTAAACGTATTTTAAGTTCTGGCAGAATAAATCATCCACACTCCTCGGAAAATAGAAAATACTTTGAACATTCTTTTTGTAGGAGTAATTACTCCAATAATCTTAAGGAAATCTTGTGCCTTCAAAAAAATTAGAGCATAGTCACAATAGAACATGAAATGGAACGAAAACAATAAAAACTGGTAGAATCTAAAATCAAACATTTCCAACTCTCTACTCTTGTATTGAATTCATTTTAATCCCCTAATTTCTAATTCACATATAGTCGTAATGATCTTACCAATAAAATACTTCATTTCCTATCAAAAGGGAAAAACAAAAAAACAAAAAAAATCCCGATCTTACAATATGAGCTAGCAAACTATGCACAACTGAAACATACATATATCCACTATTTCCCATGCACATTTTGGAGTTCAATAAATATACTAACAAGATATAGAAGCAACTATTATAGAACAGAATTCATGCACGCATAGACACATTAATATATGTTTTGTACGTCTATGTGTATGTGTGTATTAATACAATATAGATACTGCATATAAGTTTGTGACATGCTCCACGATTAGGTAACAGCACTGAAGTTCACTAATGGCTTATAACTCTCACCATGCGCAAAAATTTGGGGATCATGCCTGCTGAAAACATCAACAGAGATTCTTCCACCGCCACCACCACCATATCCATTACCTCCACATGTACTTATCCTGCCATCGCCAATCCTGCTCTTCACAAGCAACATACTTTAATGTTCAATTTTATCCCATGTCCGTGTATTACCAAAAAAAAAAAACAAATTTCTTGAAAATAAGAATGATGAAACCAAAACCAGCTGAATTAAGTCCTCAAATATCCCACTATCTAAAAGAAGAAAAACTCATGCAGCTCTCGTGCCATAAAATCATCAAACAGAAAAGGGAGATATACACTGTTCCAATGTGAAAACAAGTTGAATTAGAGAAAGTAGACAAACAGATGGGGAGAGAAGATAGATAATTACATTTTGTGAGCAAGGATATAGATGCTGCCACCTGACCCACCTCCTCCTTTTGTCCCTCCATCACCCCCATCGGCTAGAACAGCCCCATCAATTATAAGAAGGTCGCCTACGTTCAACTTAATCTTTCCGCCACCGTTTCCACCATAGTCTACCTCCTTGCTCGTGGAACCACCCCGGCTCCCAAAACTGCTAGGCTTCTGCAGCGACGCCCATGAGTACGCATCACCTCCCCAATAGTCCTCAGGAAGCTTGGTTTTATCCGTCAAACAACATGCTCCCCTCCCTCCATGTCCCCCACCTGACCCATCAATACCTTGTGGCGTCCCACTAGTCTGTGACGGCGGATTCCCAGCTAAACCAGTCGTATTCACCACAGACCCATTGAGAAAGCTAGCATTCCAGGCAGCCAGCTCAAAACTCCCGGTAAATATAGACGAATCATTGCTCAGCGTAAAATTGCCAGTAATGTTAATGGTAATCGAACACCCCGGTTTAGGACAATTAAACTTCACCCCAGGCAGTATATAAAAATTCCCCTTCCCAGCTATATACACGTCATGAGTAAGGTTCAAATCGTTGACAATCTGACATGTAGTATCCAACGAGCCAACTCCATCTAAATCCCAGGTGCAGGAAACCGAAGGCGGATGAGGCGGTGGTGGCGGTGGAGCCGGCGGCGAATAATCATGGTGAGAAAGAAATCCATCGTAATCGAGAATGGAAAATTCATCGACCGTGGACGATGAGACGACAGAATGAGGAGGCTCTGTAACAAGAACAACTACAAGCGCAACAAAACTTGAGAAACGAAGAGAACGAGAGTGAAATCGAGCCATTCACTACTGTCAACAGTCATTAGGTCAGAGATTTCTGTAAGGATTGGCAGTTGAATTAGCAAATTCGATCGGAAACAACAAAACTAAATCCACCATGAATACAACAATTTCACGAAATTCAGAGTACATGGGCCTTGTTCGTAGAAATGGAGAAACCCTAGAATTCGCTCTGCAAAACAGACTGCAACACAAAGAACCAGACGGAGAAGGTAAGATCGATGTTTTCCGAGAGAGAGAGAGGAAGGTGGGGGAGAGAAGAAGCCCCCCCTTACTTATTTCCACGATGAATGAATGGCAGGGAAATGTTTGGAAACGGCTTGCGATGAATGAGCTCGCTCACGTGTCGTTCTCTCATTGGTTAACCTCCATAACCCACCTTCTTTTTTGACTTTTTGTTGTTTTCCCGCGCGCGGTTGGCACGTGTGGAAGTTAATCGTGGTACTTTGTCGTATTCATCATTAAATAATAATAAACCCTACCTGTCTTAAAAGAGCGTAAATGTCAATCGCTAAATTACAAATTTAATTTTTAACTTTATCTTAATTAATTACTGAAATTTATTAATATAAATTTTATAATTTTATCAAATATTCATTAAACACAAAAATTTTAAAAATAGAAGGGAAAGGGACAATGATGTAATTTCATCATCGACTAGTAAGGATGAGACAGCTAGGCTCGTGGTCAAGGTCTTTTAACCGTTTTTCAATAGGGAGGCGAAACGTGAATGGTCTAGAGGTGATTGATTTCTGGTTAAACAGTCGAGAACGTGGTATTTAAGTCGACTTACACTAACCAACTTAACTCAAACCTACTCGGGTAGATTCATACGTTAACCTGGATAATTCATTAGATACAAACTGAAACTATACTCAAATATCGAAAAATTTAGATCGTTGACACAATTACTTGAACATTGATTTGACAATCGATGATGTAATAAATGCAATAGACCTCTCGCTATCGTCATAAATTTTTTAAAAGAATTTTATAATAAATATTACATAGAAAGAAAAAAAAGAAAAAAAAAAGTAAGTTAACTCGTCCATTGATTCAATTGTTGTCAGCTTTCCCTTCATCAAGAAAACCAATTGATAATAATAAATTATAGCATTTATTTCTGACCTGACCATGACCAAAAGCATGCTTGATGCTTCTACCAAAGTTGTCAAACAAAACAAACTCGTCTCGTCTCTTCGATTCACCATTTCATTTGTACATTTCTTCTCGAGGAAGAAAGGTATTATATATCTAACGGCTTAAGCGAGCGCTAACAGATATTGTTCTCTTTGAGTTTACCTTTCAGGTTTTCTCTCAAGGCTTTAAAACGCGTCTGCTAAGAACAAGTTTCTACATTCTTGAAAGGAATGTTTTGTTTCCCTCTCCGACCGAGGTGGGATCTTACAGTATCATATGTAATAGTCCAAGCCCCCCACTAACAGATATTGTCCTCATTGAGTATTTTCTTCTGAGCTTCCCCTCAAGATTTTAAAACGCGTGTGCTAGAAAGAGGTTTTCACACCCTTAGGAATGATTCGTTCCCCTCTCCAACTGATCTCACAATCCACCCCCTTGGAGGCCTAGCGTCCTCGCTGGTACACCGCCTAGTGTCTGACTTTGATACCATTTGTAACAACCCAAACCCACCTCTAGCAAATATTGTCTGCTTTGGCTCATTACGTATCGCTGTCAACCTCACGGTTTTAAAATACGTCTACTAGGGAGAGGTTTCCACACCCTTAAAGGAATGCTTCGTTCCCCTCTCCAACCGACCAAGTTTCTTATCAGCAAAGTCACGAAGAACTTGGTCTAAATTCACATGCGATCATAGAAGCTAGTAAACACTTAGTATTGATAAATCAGCTGAGCTCAACCAGACATATAGCTCTACAACAATGACATGAAACGCTCTGTACATGTAATACAATGCATATATATTTGGAGCCATATGTCTTAAAATTGCTATATATGTAGCTATGTGAAAGGTTTGCCCATGCCCAGGTCAACATCTTTATCTACTGCCTCATCAGTGCATGATGGAAGTAAAGGACATATTTTAAGTTAGAAAACACGAACCTGGAAGCAGTGGGTTGGTGTGTCGTGTATGGAACTGTACAGAATTCTTTACTCGAAACGTCGATGATTGAGATATGAACAATTCGTCGTGTTTTCTTGTGACAGTAGCTTTCTTAGTATGAACCTTGGCTTCCTTGGCCTGCTGCAAGTTTTGAAAAGATTAGCTGAAAGAAGTATATCAAGCCAAATAATGGCTCAAGTTCCTCACAGTCTCTTCATTTTTCAGCTTTGCTATGGCTTTCTTTTCTATTTTTCGAACCCACTCCTTGCTTATGTGCAAAAGTTTCCCAGTTTCCTCAAGTGACTTGGGTCGGAAATCGACAAGTCCGTATCGCATAAGCAGGACCTGCCTCTCCCTTGATTCCAACCCTTCAAGAAGATTAAGATGTCGATCTTCATGAGTTTTCGCTTCACAGTCTCTTCTGGGCTCTGTATTGAAGTATCTGCTGCAAATTCCTGCACCATAAGAGCAACACTTAAAGAACATAAAATATCAGATCAGAGTTTTCTTGTAATTTGTAACATTAATCTAAAAGTGTAACAGCCCAAGTCCGCCCGCCGTTCGTAGATATTGTACTCTTTGGACTTTCACTTTCCAGCTTCCCCTCAAGGTTTTAAAATGCATCACCCTTATAAAAGGTGTTTCGTTCTCCTCTCCAACCGATGTGGGATCTCACAATCCATCCCTCTTCGGGACTCACCATCCTCGCTGGCACACTGCCCATTGTCTGGCTCTGATACCATTTGTAATGACCCAAACCCACCACTAGCAAATGTCGTCCTCTTTGGGCTCTCATTCGGGCTTCCCCTCACGATTTTTAAAACGCATCTGCTAGGGAGAGATTTCCACACCCTTATAAAAAGTGTTTCGTTCTCCTCCCCAACTAATATGGGATCTCACAATAACCTTGTATGGAAGAGAGAATCATACCATAGATTTCATGTTTAGGCCATCACTCCTCTTCTGATCAATCGAACCAACAACTTTTAAGCAGTTGTTAGCAAGTCTAACCTTGGCCAAAGGAAGGCCAGTGGCCTTCGCTATATCGTCATCAGAATATCGATTACTACCGTTGTTCAATGCCTTTCGAGCTTTCTGAATCTGATTCATTGCCTTCGTCAATGACCACTACAAAGAATTATAAAGACGAGTCAGTTATACATGAATATGAAAACTTTACGAAAAATCGCCTCCCGGTGAAAACAGAATCATACTGGAATTTGAATTCCCCTTGAATTTCGTGCAACAACGCTCGACATCGATTTCCTGATCTTCTTCCTGCTCTTTTACCAGAGTAAACTACGACGTCATCATTTTGGCCATCTGTTTTCGGGTTTACGTTATGATATCCCCCGTCCTCAATGGCTAAGTCATTTTGGCCATCTCTTCCCAAGCTTAGCATGCCTGATTCAGCAAAAGTTTCCTCCAAAACATCAATGTTTTTCATCAACATGCCAAAAGACGACGCTTTGCCAGTAGGCAAGCTCGTACCAGCAGAAAAATTGTCGTCTACTCTGGACGGCCTGGTGCATTTTAACCCATAATGCAAATGACCGAGTGGCCTTGCCTTATTGTTTATCTGAGGTATAAGAGTGATGAGAATGGTAATAACATATAAGATCCATCTGACATGATGCAAATATACTCCTGAAACTATATCTTTAGCTGGATTCTTATCCATATCGACTTATCTGTTCTCTCCTTTCATTTTACCGCATCATTTCCAAAGCGCTCGAGTTTATATTTGTACTTTCAATGAATGAACCAAACTCGTCCTTGTGGATTTGATCCTACGTGCAACTATTATGATCTAAAATTATTTTCAAGTAAGGAACTATTATTGGTTAGATTCAACGCCAAGAACAATAAACTGAGACAAGTCAAGACTATATGTGGGTGTTGTGTGACGTTCGTTGCGCAGGGCTAACCTCTATCTCTTTCAAATCTAACAGATTATCGGCCGAGGTTTGTGGAGCTTCGGACAAGCAAGTGTACGTTTTAAAGGTGTCTCTAGAGATAAATTCTCCTTCCTCACAAATACTGGAGAAGAAGGAAAGTCTTCCTGAACCAAAAGAAGCTTCCCTGCCTTTAGCTGTTTTAAAATGTAGAACTGAACAAAATTAGAGACTAAGACTAGTACGCTACATGCATTCCAACGCCAAAAATCATGACAGAAACTTAGAAAATGATTTAATTAAAGGATGTTAATACACGAGGCTCTTTCTCACAAGCATCCAAGCTGGGGGGAAAATTTTAAGATAGATCGAATGCACGCTTCTCATTGATAGACAAGCGAAGTTATCAACAAGTAGTTAATCATAAACAGTTTTGTAGTCAGTAATTGTGAGATCTCATGTCGGTTGGGGAGGAAAACGAAACATTCTTTATAAGGGTGTGGAAACCTCTCCCTGACAGACGTGTTTTAAAAACATTGGGAGGAATCCCAAAAGGAAAAGCCTAAAGAGGACAATATCTGCTCGCGGTGGGCTTGGGCCGTTACAAATGGTATCAGAGTCAGACACCGGGCGATGTGTCAGTGAGGAGGTAAGCCCCGAAGGAGAACGTTGACCCCTAAGAGGGGTGGATTGGGGGGTCCCACATCGATCAGGGCGTGGATTATGAGATCTCACATCAGTTGGGGAGGAGAACGAATCATTCTTTATAAGGTTGTGGAAACCTCGTCTTAGGAGACACGTTTTAAAAACTTTGAGGAAAAGCCCAAGAGATAAAACCCAAAGAGGACAATATCCGCTAGCGGTGGGCTTGTGCCATTACGTGAAAAATCTTCATAACCTAACAATCCCAGAAAACTTAAAACAAGTTTAAAATTCATGAACTGTCACTTCAGAAATCTCCACAGAATCCATTGCTCATCTATGTGACAAGGAATACTCAATAATTATCGCAACATTTTGGTGGGATGTTCATCATCTTTGATACAAAATTTCCAAGACACGCCCAAAAATTTCATTTCTCAAACGATTGAGATTATCGCCGCCAGAGCAATTTAACTATTGATTACAACGACAAGTACAACAAAGCAAGCTAAAAAATGCGAAAACCAATCAGTAATAGGCTTAGAATTCATACATGAAGCTTGCTGAATCGCATCATCACAAGACAGAAGAAATAAGCTCAGAATTCATACATAAACACAGATATCAATCGACGCTAGTTTCTAATTCAGCATCGTAGTAATAGGCTTAGAATCAAAGCAAAAGTCAAGAAATGTTTCAGAGAAAAAGAACTAACAGGCATCTGGGGAAGCCTTGGAAGAGGAGCTCCGGCGACAATGAGCCTGAATTTGAAAACTCCATTTGAGATTTGGCCTGAAAAGTGTTGCCATCGTGAAAATCGAAGGCAGGAAGAGGCGGGAGCTTGGCGGCGAAGTAGTAATTAATTACTCTTACAATCTAATTCCAAATTCCCTGCCACTAATTTTTAATCCCGTTTTAATAATTTGGAAAATAAAGAAAATTAATTAAAATATTAGTAATGATATTATATTCACTTTATGTTACATTTTATTGCTATATTCTTTTTAATAATATTAGAAATGTCGATTCATCTCTTATGTCAATATCGAACCTATACATATATGAAAATGTCGACGAAAATAGTTTGTTTGATGGTACTTGTTACTCGAATAACCGTAGTAGTTTTAGAGCTAATACGTGTAATAAACCCCGACTTCTAGAAGGGATGCATTTATTTGACAAAAAACAGTCAACACAAGCTTTATCGTTGCTCTGATGATTCATGATAGCTCGATAAATCGCACGAGCGACTCATCATTCAAATTTATTCTCTATCAACTTTCAATGGCACGATCATCACGTGAATTAGGGTTCGATTACAGAGAGTGGAGCCTGAGAAATGGCTACCACATCCGAGGAAGGCAAGTCATCCCCGTATTTTTCCATATACGTGGGTTCGATCCTCCAAGGCCTGTTAGAGCTCTCTTCAACCTGCTCATGGCTAGATCGATCGGTTTCAGGTCAAATAGGAAGAACTCGAATATTCCACCTCTGGAAAGCGCCTACACCTAATAGCTTAAGCCGCTGCAACATACATGCAAAATAACTTGACACGGGGAGGTAGTAACAATAAATAACAATACCGGGCTCCTCGAGATTAGTAATTTGAATGAATACAATCTAAATTCCTTAACAAATCATTACAAAAAAAAAAAAAAAAAAAAAAAAAAACCAAGATTTTGATTGATCAACCAACCAAAAAACTTTGACGCTCGATGTTCACAAATCACTCGACTACAGTTACTAGCAAGTGATCAACGTACGTGTACGACAAGTTAACAACACGTCCGATACATATATATATATCATACCTAACAAGTGTCGAACATAAGTCTGATGGACATAGAATGATCGGGATCGTGGCACGTAGGATAATAGCCTCTAAGAAGGGGAAAGAACCTTATTTTTTACAAATCATATCCAAACCACTTTCCTTAAAAGCAGCTAGCTTCATGAAGACAAAGATGTGAAGAAAGTGGCAGAGAGTAAACTCTGATGCAATTCCAGGAAGAGCAGTGTGCATGCGCATGCATGCAATCCAACATCAGATAAGACAGATGAACAGAACACATGTCTGTCTCATTCTTGTTTTTCTTTGTTCTAATTATGTTTTGTTCTTTGAGCTGATTTTGTTAGAAAGCTCTTAACTTTCATTGTTTTATACTGTTTTTTGGTTGAATATTAACAGAACTATATTGATATAAATTAAAAGTTTTAAATATATATGAGAAATAAATTAAACGAACGACGTTACTGGATGATTTAGAAAAGGACGTTATTTCATTATTTGGTTATATACGTCCGTGTCTAGGATATTCCTACGTATACCTTCCATACAAATTTTCAGAGCTAAAAGTGGAGAGGGGTCACATTTTCTTATAAGAGTGTGGAAACATTTCACTAGTAAACGCGTTTTAAAATCGTGAGGTTGACAGTGATACATAACGGGTCAAAGGCATCGAGTGGTGTGCTAGCTAGCGAGGACACAGAGCCCAAAAGAAAGGTGGAATGTGAAATCTCACATCGATTAAAGAGGAGATCGAGTGCTAACGAGGACGTTGCGCCCCCGAAGGAGGTGGATTGTGAGATCCCACAGTGATTAGAAAGGGGAGAGAGAGTGTCAACGAGGACGCTGAACTTCGAAAGAGGTGTATTGTGATATCCCACATCGGTTGGAGAAGAGAACGAAACATCCTTTATAAGGGCGTGGAAACCTCTCCCTGGTAGATGCGTTTTAAAACCACGAGGTTGACAGCGATACACAATGGACCAAAGCGGATAATATTTATTAGGGGTGGGCTTGGACTCTTACATATATTCTTAGAGGTTAACTGATCGAGTCTCCAATCTATGTTTGTTCGTTTCCCTACAGAATAAGTAGAGATAAGGATATCTCCTATATCTCCATGATCTCGAGGCTAATCCTTTATAAGGGCGTGGAAACCTCTCCCTAATAGATGCGTTTTAAAATCACGAGGCCGATACATAACAAGCCGAAGCGAACAATATCAGCTAGCAGTGGACTTGAGCTATTACAAATGATATAAGACCCAAGTCACCGAACAATGTGCCAACGAGGACACTGAGCCCTAAAGGAGGAGTGAATTGTGAGATCTCACACCGATTAGAGAGGGAAACAAAGCATCCTTTATAAGGATGTGGAAACCTCTACATAGCATACACATTTTAAAATCGTGAGACTAACGACAATACGTAACAGACCGAAGCAAACAATATCTACTAGCACTGAACTCGGGCTGTTACACATATTCTCAAAGGGGTTTAACTGTTCGTTTCCCTACATAATGAGTAGAGACAAGGATATCTCCTATATCTCCGTTCTCAGGCTCGTAAATCATTCTCCATTCTAATGAAAATCTTCATCAAATGGTGGGAAAATACACTGAAACCCCTCCCCGAGAAGATCTCGAGGCTAATTCTTCACAAAAACGAGTTCGAAAAGAGAGAGTAAAGGGTACGATGTAAGCCTAAAGAGAAAGTTCGAGGAAGAAACGAGCATAATGATCGACGAAATCATAAGAATGGCATACAATGATTTGTGTATAATCATGAACAATACAAGAAAGTGTTAGAAAATAGGAAGAACATGGCGTGTAGAAATGGGAAAGGGATGGAAAACGAAAAGGCATGCAGAATTGAGGTTTATATTCTTCACAACTCTCCAAAATCTAAGCTTTGCTTTCTCGTGTAAACCAACACAACGTTGGCTCATTAAACGAGGCTAATGTCCTTCCCTTTTCTTCTTTGGATTATTGCTTGTAATTGCTTTGCTCTTCTTCTTCATAAACACAACAATACAGGATGAAAAGGATGGGACAGTTTGAATTATAGAGTGCCCACTCAATCTCTGCTCACTGCACCTACTCTTTTTAGGTTGGTACACTTGTATTATTTGGGATAGATCTTACGTTGGATGGAGCGTGGAATGACGGAAACTTCTCCCTAGTCGATGCGGTTTAAAATCGTGAGGTTGACGGTGGTATGTAATGAGCTAAAGCAGACAATATGAGCTGTTACTAATGGTATCAGAGTTAGTAGCAAGGACGGTGGACTTCTAAAGGGGGTGGATTGTGAGATCACATATTGGTTGGAGGGTAGAACGAAACGTTTCTTATAAGGGCGTGGAAACCTCTCCCTAGTAGACGCATTTTAAAATCGTGAGGTTGACGGTGATATATAACGAGCTGGACAATATTTGCTAGCGGTGGGCTTCAGTTGTTACAAATGGTATCAGAGCTAGTCATTGGACGGTGTGCCAGCAAGGACGTTGGACCCCTAAGGGGGGTGGATTGTGAGATCACATATTGGTTGGAGGGTAGAACGAAACGTTTCTTATAAGGGTGTGGAAACCTCTCCCTAGTAGACACATTTTAAAACTATGAGACTGATAGCGATACGAAAGGGGAGCCAAAACAGACAATATCTACTACGAATGGTATCAGACAGTGTGCCAACGAGGATGTTAGGCTCCCAAGGGGGTTGGATTGTGAGATCCCACGTTGGTTGGAGAAGAGAACGAAGCATTCCTTATAAGCATGTGGAAAACTCTCCCTAGTACACACGACTCACGACGATACGTAACAGGCCAAAGCAAACAATATCTGTTAGTGGTGAGCTTGAGCTGTTACAAATGGTATTAGGGCTAGTCACCAGACAGTATGTCAGCAAGAACGTTGGAACCCAAAAGGGGTGGACTGAAAAATCCCACATTGATTTGAGAGGAGCATGAGAATCTCTCCCTAACAGACACGTTTTTTTATGTGACTCGTGAAACAAATTCCCCTTTCATTCTTCTCTCTTATTTAAACACTTCTTCTTCTTCTTCTGCCATCCATACCTTTAAAGCTTTAACCTTTTGACATATCCATCCATCCATCTCTTTTTGTTCTTTCTTTTTCCAGTCTCTAAAAGGATGGGCAGCCTTCAAATTTGGCACAGAAACAAACACCTTTCAATTCCCTTCCTCTTCTTCCTCTCTGTTTTCCTCTTCATTCATCTTACGTCCATAGCTGAAGGTAACCCATTCACTCTATTCTACACATTACACTTCGTTTTCTTATAACTTGTTTCAAACTTGAAGAGTACATTTGTTCACATAGGCAGAGGTTTCCAGACGCCATTAATGGAGGACAGGAAGGTGGAGGAACAACCCAGCACGGCGGAGCTGGTGAGGATGAGGAGGAGGAGTCAGATAGGGTCACAGCCGCCAAGCTGCCGGAGAAGGTGCAGGGAATGCGGCGGACCATGTGAGGCAATTCAAGTACCAGTAGCAGTACATGATTCAACACATCAGAAACAGAGGAGAAGAACAAGAAGAAGAATAAGAAGCCATTTCTCTAGTGAAGCTTCTTCTTCTTCTTCTTCTTCTAAACATAATAAGGTGGCTCTGTCTAGTGAAGATGAAACCTCAAATTACAAACCCATAAGCTGGAAATGCAAATGTGGGAATTTCATCTTCAACCCATGAATTTTGCTGTTCTTTCAATTCTTTTTCATTCAATAAAAATACCAACTTGTAAAGATCAAACATCTGGAAATCATCCATGGTTCTTGAGTTTCTTTCTGTGTTCTTCAAGACAATTAGGCAAAGGGATGTCAGGTGGTGATTTGAAAGTTTAAGAAGAGAGAGAAAGGGAGAATAATTATGGTAGAGATTAAGAGAGAGAAAATGAGGTGGAAGTGTCATAGTGTCTGTCAGGTAGAATTCAGACATTTCTGTTCTTCTGCCTGGTTTTCGTATAATATAAGATTTCTGAATCTGGAAAAATCTCCATGGCTACAGAACAGAGTAGCCTCAATAAACTCAATTCATCTCTCCTTCTTCCCTAAAAATGCTATAGACTATAGATCGGAGACAAGACCTCTTATGCCGGAAAAGAAAGTTAAGTGGACTCGACTCTTCGTTGGCAGTAAGAAAGGAAGGAGGCATTGGAAAGACTAGACTAGACCATAGACCTCTTATGCTGGAAAAGAAAGTCAAGTGGACTCCTGACTCTTCACCGGCAGTAATAAGAAAGGAAGGAGGCATTGGAAAGACCAGACCATAGACCTTATGCCGGAAAAGAAAGTCAAGTGGACTCCCGACTCTCCACTGGCAGTAAGAAAGGAAGGAGGCATTGGAAAGACTAGACCATAGACCTCTTATGCCGGAAAAGTAAGTCAAGTGGACTCCCGACTCTTCGCCTGCAGTAAGAAAGGAAGGAGGCATTGGAAAGACTAGACCATCCTAAAGTCGAGGCATTCAGGAAGCAACTAGTCGCTTCTGGACAAGCTTCTATCAGGCCAACCACTACCGAAAACCAAAGAAGAGATGAAATTCTAGATTGAACAAATAACCCACCTAAGATAATACGCAAGTCAATGAGAGCTAGCTATTGTTGCTTGATGGAAACTTGCCCCATATTTGGAAACCCGGCTCGAGAATAGTTTCTTAGTACTAGGATCAACTCTTCCTTCCTTGCCGGGTTTTTGCCAAAAAGGTGAAGATTTCCGAGACGAGCAGTCCAGGAGGGAGTTAAAAGAAAAGAAAAGATTCTCGGGAACATAGTAGCATGAAGAACATATTGCTAATAATCTAAATACAATCCAATTGGCCATGACTATCTATTCATTAGCATAGTGAGCAGCATGACTTGAATCCCATTCATTCAGAGCTGTTATAAGCGTTAATTAATTCATCTAAACAGAATTTACATTGGATCCTTGGCACTTCCCTTTTCTACCTTAGAGATATTTACAGTCATTCTAGGAACTCCCAACAAAAGCACAGGGGACTGTAAGATCAGTTCAGATTTTGAGCTAATTAATGCAAGTTAAAAAGGCATATTTACACCTTCCAAACTGCAAACTTGTCATCTTAGTGAGCGAGCAAAGGATAGAATTCATACGAAATGGCTTCTCCCATCCTTCAGCCAAGTGAGTTGCCTGAATGAGCTGCAACTGGAAGCCTCGCCCTCAAGCGCTATTCAAGAGTTATCTGGAGAGTACTGAGCGTGACCGTATGAGAATCGAAGAAGTTTCTAGTAAGTTGTTCTCTTCTTGTACTTGCTCTGTACCAAGCCCAAGAGGAAATCTGTGAATATGTGCTCGTATTCTGGCATTTTCCCATACCCTGAAATGAGAACCAGCTTTACTCGTAAACAGAATTATAGGGTCCGAACGAACGATAAAATTGCACGAATTATAGGGTCCAAATTATAAACTTATAAATCCTATAAAAGACAACAACTTACCAGGGAAGTAGTTGATATCAATGACATAATAACGATCTCGAGTTCCATACTCTCGAATAATGTCGAGGTTGAATAATCGAAGCCCCTGTACAGAGGTAACAGAATGACCATATGATCACAATCCATTTTTTCTAGCAAATGATTTTAGGCAGGAAAAATGGGGTAGAGGAGCAAAAGCCTTACCAGTCGACGTCTGAGTTCCTTTGCTAATCTCTCTAATAGAGGTCGTGGAGGAAGTTCTGCAGATAAAAAGTATGCACCGAGTTTAAACGTCACTCTAAGAAATTTCAATTTTCGTAACAAAAGATGTTTCTGAGCTTTATCGCTAGATATTGATATAGGGTTTACGTCTTAAACCTTCCCTTTTAAGTATTCTATCAAACACATGATACATTTTGTAAGATCTCACATCGGTTGAGGAGGAGAACAAAATATTATTTACAAGGGGTGCAACCTCTCCCTAGCAGACACGTTTTAAAAACCTTGAGGGGAAGCCCGTAAGGGAAAACCCAAAGAGTACAATATCTGCTAGTAGTGGATATGGGCCGTTACACAAACAAAGCAATAGAGTCTGATCTCTTGAAGTAAAACAAACAAGTTAATAAAGACACCTAAGGTGTCAAAGGACAATCCTTCAAATTTGATGACTTACCAGCAACACAAGGATCCAGATCAGCATCATCAGCAGATGCAGCAGCATGAGAAACTCTCGGGAAACGATAAATACCAGCATTTTTCAAGACCTCCCACATGCTGACATTTGGCAACGAAAAACGTCTGACCACTTTTATAGCTTCACCAACTATGAAAACCTTAAACATGACACCTCCTGGCACCATGAGTAATAGCAATTCAGAAACAAAATTCACAGGATCCCAAATTATGGAAGTAACATGGAATGAAGGGAAGAATATTAGAACTACTCACCATGGTTGACAAACTCCTGGAGAACAAGAGGAGGTTCAAGCTTTTGGAGGGAGTACTTATCATAAGCTAAAGATAATTCATGGGACTTTTCACTTCCATCAGCAACCAACGGTTTAGCAACTGATACCAACGTGAGAAAACCATAAAGATATAGCATAAAAATATGAGAAAAACGTTGTCAGGAGATATTCATGATCAGTATCACGTATCGCATAGATATACATACCAAGAGGAAGTTTTAGCCCGACCTTCCCCACTGCATCAGAAATGGAGGATGCATCTTTCTTTATGACTAATTGCCTTGGAACATCTACTTTGCCTGCACAGAAAAAAAGGTCCCTTTTCCTTCAGTAAATTCCAGAGTAATATCCCCATATACATATAGTACTCAAGCAACACATTCTCAACATTTACCATAGGATTCAGATAATTCCATGTCGGCAACTGCCTGGAGCATAGACTGGCGATTGTGCAAGTGTTGTATCGCATCTGGGGGATCTAGAACGGTCACTTCTGGGTGTGTTTGTCTGTATTCCTACAAACATATGCAGAGAGGGTAAGAAAACAAATTGGAGCTTATTTGAAAATGTTTCAGAAATATGGTACACACCATGGCCAAATGAGCACCAGAAAGGGTCAAGGGTGCAAGAATACAAACGAAATTAATTTGCAGCTACTAAGAGCTAAATCATAAACAGGTATCCATAAGAAGAACAAGAAGAAACAAAAGGAATTTGAAATAAACACAGAATCTAAGTTAGAAATAGATTAAGCATTAAGCTTTCATTATCTTCAGATATTAGACATCTGTCGAAAAAATTTAAGAACATATCGGTATGAGTACCTTCAAACACAGACATGCACAATGAAAAAGTGGAGAACAAATTCAACTGCTTGCATATTTTTTAGTTAAAACTTTTGATAAACTGTTGGATTGGAGAAATCATCCACAATACCATTCATGTTCCACAATCCTACCATTTTCTTAGATAAAACCTGTAGATATATCAAAACGAGACATCTAAATGTCACCATTATAAGTTATTGAACTGTAAAAGAAATATAGTAAATTTAGACGACCCACAAACTTCGTAGAAGCTGAGAATCGTTTAGCACCTATAACCCCGCACAACCTTTTCCTTCTAAATCATAAGAGCAGAACATTTGTCTGACTGAAAGCTTATAAGAACGAGGATGCAGACTCTAATCCTATAAATCAGAGTTCTAACAAAATCTTATATTGATGGGTTAGGCAACTCTTAAGCCATCTCCCGTTAGGCCAATCAATGTTCAAATGGGTAGCCATATACTGTGGAGAATGGAACCCATATAAGTTAATACAAATCAGAAGTAGCCATTTTTTGGTTTTGGCAGAAATTTCCAAGAAAACCTGAACAAATCAGCCATGTGGCAAGGAGTGGAGACATCCTCCCTTGTTGGAACCTTAAGGCCTCGACCTCAACTACTGAATCATGATTCATGACGTTAGAGAACCAGTCTGCACATTAGGCCAGATGTGGATGAGCTTTAAATCAAAACTAGTTAACCCATTAGCCAATGTCAGTGATCATTCGACTCCAACCATGTGATTAGATGTCGCATAGCATACAAGTTAGGCATACAATATTACATTCCAGGAGGTTTAGGTGCAATTCGGACACAATAAAAACAAGTCAAAATGAAACTAAATATTCAATAATAGAGGACTAACCTCGAGAATCTGACGCCACTCTTTTCCTGACAACTGCACGCAAGAAAAACAAACAGAGAAAGGGGGCTGTCATAAAGAGTTGAAAAGCCATAAGCGCCATACAAAACCAACTACAAACAACTGGGACCCAGCAAATGGTGAAAAAGAAAAAATCAGAAATGACGCATGCAACCCATATGTGGTGGAGGAAGGATTCTGAATCGCACTCTGTGATAATGACATAGAATGAACCACCTCCAAAATCACAAGGTTTCTTTCAAGGAAATTCGACGGAAAGACTAACCTTGTGCAGAACAATGTCAAATGGCCCCTGATCCGACAGAGGTCTGTTTTGATCAATTGCAACGAACAATATACCCTTGTTCCTGCATTTCCCAGTGCAGATTATGAAGTAAACTAACAATCACTCAATAATCTTCATGATGTTCATGATGTGAGAATATAGATAGAGAAATTATTCACATCCATATATTTTCAGAAAAAAAAAACCCAAATCCTAATTGCATCCTCAGATTTCACAGAAAACAAGAGAACACAAGTTGATTTATCAGCTCATTTACTATTACGATATTTATTAAAACATTCTGATATTTTTTTCCTCGTTCCCCCTCAACCCAAGCAAAGGAAAGCGACGTCTACGGCTCTGGAATTTCCCTCCATGAAACCACAGCCGGAAACATAGATTCTTACATTTCTGAAGGAAGAAGAAGAAGAAGAAGAAGAAAAGGAAAACAGACAGCCATCCACAGATT